CTCCAGGCCCTACCTACACACTGTACGTTCCTTTCACATACCAGAGGATGACATACAGAATTTACCTTGGCCAGAGGCACCACTTCCACTTGATCCTCAGAGTGATGAGCCATTCCCCCTCCTACCACCTCCATGTCAGAGATTCCTGCTAGTGCAGCAGCCTCAGTTCCTTTCAGATGTACGTCACCTTATCAGTACAGCCAACTTCCTGTGACTGAACAGGTCAGGAAAATTAACATGAAGGACGAGTATGGCCCTGGAGCATGCTTGAAGAGACAGGTCACCCCTGAATATGCAGAGCCATACACTTTTCAGCGCCAACAACCAGAAAGCTTCCAGGAGATGACTGGGGACCCACCTCATTGGACGCCAACTGATTCCAAAGACTGGAGGAAATATGGTCAGCACGAACCTCTACTGAGTACAGAGACCGTGTTCCGGGGATCAACACCACACATTTCATACTTCACGTCTGATGACCCCAGCCAGTTCGCTTGTTTGCGAATGGCCCTTGACTATATCCTGCGTCATGATGCGACTGAACGCTTCAAGTACCAGATCCTAGTCGATCACCTCAAGTTGGAAGACGTCCTCCTGATTGCAGATTCCTACAGCAATAGCTGCTACACATACAGACAGACCATGTCGTCTCTGATAGAGCTGTATGGTCAACCTCAAACTTGCCCTGCAGCAGATCACTGACGTGTTGTCTGAGTCTCCTGTACGGAGTGGTGACAGCCGAGCACTCCGTCTTTTTGCCCTGAAAGTGAGGGCTCTCGTGGGAATGTTGGAAATCTTGGGAAAGATGGGAGAGCAGAACTGAAATGTGGGTCACACGTCACCAGACTGCTGTCCAAACTGCCACACAATCATCGAGTGCAGTTTAAACGGTTCATCAATCCTCTTCAGACACCCATCCCAACCTTAGCAGATTTGGCAGAGTGACTTGAATACGAAGTCTGCATTCAAGATCCATCCATCCATTCGCTTCCGCTTATCCTTTTCAGGGTCACGGGGGGCACTGGAGCCTATCCCAGCTGTCATAGGGCGAGAGGCGGGGTACACCCTGGACAGGTCGCCAGTCTGTCGCAGGGCTAACACACAGGGACAGACATTCACTCGCACATTCACACCTAGTGGCAATTTGGATTATCCAATTAACCTATCCCCACAAGCTGCATGTCTTTGGACGGTGGGAGGAAGCCGGAGTACCCGGAGAGAACCCACGCAAGCACGGGGAGAACATGCAAACTCCACACAGGACCTTCTTGCTGTGCGGCAACAGTGCTAACCACCGTGCCACCGTGCTGCTGCATTCAAGATCATGATGTGTATTTCCATCATCCTCAGCAACCTTGAGAGCCACGTGTGGATCGTGGGAAGGGTGCCAGACCCATGAGGTTAATGCATCGCGATCCACTAGCTCTGACAGACCGGCGGAGGAAGCTGTCCAACCCGTCACGTACTACGTTGATCTGACCTGGGGGACCAGTTGCATGCTACTGAAAATGGTCAAGGTGTGCCTCTATAATGGCAAAAGGAAGCTAGAGACATACGCCATCCTAGACGATGGGTCAGAGCACACGATCCTTCTTCACAGTGCTACTCAAGAACTGGGCCTTCAGGGAATGAGGGAGGAGTTGGCACTTAAACTATCTGACAAGATATTAGAATGGTGGAAGGACATTCCGTTTCCTTCGCTATAGCCTCCGCCACTGACCCTCGGAAATGGTTCCAGATCCCCAGAGCATTCATTGCCACTGAGCTTGGGCTCGCTAAACACTCACATCCAGCTGACGCACTGCAAAGGTCCTACCGCCACCTGGAAAGTCTTCCACTTCGTTCGTTTCACCAAGCTCAACCATTGTTGCTGATTGGCTCTGACTACCCACATCTCCTGACTCCAATAGAGTCTGTACATCTGGGTCCACGGGGAGGACCAGCTGCACTCAAGACACGGCTGGGTTGGACTCTGCAGGGTCCAGCCAAGGTTCTTCTGCATCAAGCCTCCACTCCTCAGTGTCTACTCACAAGCACCATGACTCCCTGTGCTGAACTTCTCAGTAATGTGGCCAAGCTCTGGCAGATGGATGTTCTCCCATACCAGAATGAGAAGGTGGCACACATTCAAAACAAGATATTATGGCTGTCAAGATGCTAGAGGAGAAGACCATCAGAGTGGAGGTGGATGGTATCGTCCGATACACCACCCCTTTGCTGTGGAAAGAGGAACCAGTCCCGCCTCATTCCACTGAGGACTCCTTCCTGGGTCACCTGTGAACCATGGAGAAGCACCTGCGGAAGTAGCCTGTACAAGCAGCTACCTATAACCAGGAGATTAAAAAGCTGGTGGATGCAGGCTATGTGAGTAAACTGACCATCACAGACATTGAGATATACAGTAGCACCTGGTACGTACCGCACCACATGGTTCATCATAATGGCAAGAATCGCATTGTCTTCAACGGTTCCTTTGTGCACAATGGTACCAGCCTGAATGAGCATCTCCGCGCTGGTCCTACCTTTGGCTCGACACTCCTGGGTGTGTTACTTCGCTTCCGGGAGTATCCCATTGGGGTGAGCAGTGACATCAAGGGGATGTTTCATCAGGTCACTTCTTGACTGAGGACAAGCCTTTTCTCCGATTCCTCTGGAAAGACATGGATCAAACTAGGCAATCAGATGTCTATGAATGGCAGGTCTTGCCCTTTGGGAAAACATGCAGTCCCTCCTGTGTTACCTATGCTCTCCAGCGGCACGTTCTGGATCACAGCAGCCCCAGCGAAGATACCCGTCACACGGTGGAGAAATGTTTCTACGTTGACAATCTCCTCCAGAGCTTTGCATCATTTCCCGAAGCCCAGCAACTGGTCAACAAAATCCAGCAGTTGCTACTCACCGGTGGCTTTTAATTACGACAGTGGGCTTCCAACTACCCAGAACTCATCAGTCATATGCCACCTGGATCAGTCTCGGAAAACAGCGAACTATGGTTTTCCCCCAATGGAACTGATGTACCAGAGCAGACTCTGGGCCTGCAATGGCACTGCCAGTCTGACGAGCTAAGATATCAGATACGGCACACCGAGCAGTTGGTGGAGCCCACAATCATCTATTGGGTTCTGGCCAAGCAGTATGATCCGCTTGGCCTCTTCATTCCTTACACCACTCGGGCCAAAATCCTGGTCCAGCACCTCTGGAGAAAAAGGAGAGACTGGGATGATCCGAATCTGCCAGTCAACCTGCTGCAGCTGTGGCATGCATGGGAAAGTGAATTGATTCAGCTCCCTGATGTCTCCCTGTCACATTGTCACGTGCAGCCGGAGACAGACCTATCCCTTTGCAAGCAAAGCATCCACATCTTCTCTGATGCATCTGAGAAGGCATACGGAGCTGTGGTATCCCCTCGGACAGAAGATCAAAAAAGGGGAAACTAGGTAGCCTTCTTAGCCGTCCGATATCGAGTTGCTCCCATCCGTCAACAGTCCATTCCTAGGTTGGAGCTCTGTGCTGCTCATGTGGGAGCCCAGCTTGCTGCTGTTCTCAAGAGGAAACTCACCCTTCATATCTCCATGCCACAGGTTGTCTACCCAGAAACAGAAATCTTGAGCCGTCGTAGGTGGAGGCAGTGCCAAGCCTTGGCAGATCAATTCTGGATCCACTACATTTGGAATTATCTACCTTCACTCCAGACGCGGCACAACTGGCAACACGAAAGAGATCAGTTGACTGTTGGCACTATCGTTCTCATTGTGGACCAGCAGCTCCCTCGTGCCCTGTGGCTCGTTGGGAAGGTCATCCGAGTCATCCCTGGAGCAGATGGCAGGGTTTGGAGTGCTCAGATACAGGTGGGAAACAAGGCATATATATGATCAGTGGCTCAACTCATCAGACTTCCAGCTCTTCCACCAGAGTCTACTGGCTGACCTTCCTAAGTGAAGTGCACCTTTGCTCCGCAAAGTTGGGGGCGGCTGTACAAAAGGCCAGCCAGTCAGCTGTGCTGACAAACAGAGCCACTCTGCTGAGTAAATATACAGGGAGTGCAGAATTATTAGGCAAGTTGTATTTTTGAGGAATAATTTTATTATTGAACAATAACCATGTTCTCAATGAACCCAAAAAACTCATTAATATCAAAGCT